TAACAATATGTTTGAATAAACAGACCTGAGGCATGACCTCACCTTAACTCCAAAAAAAAAAAAAAAAAAAAAAAAATAATATACTTCTGTTTTTGACTTTAGACTTTCAATCCAGATAGTCTAGTAGGACTATGACCTGTTCCTAGTACTTCAAAGTCTGTTTCCTAAGATTCTTTTCCTCTAGTTTGAGACTTTTGACAGCCTAGTTAATAATATCTCTTATCCAAGATTTTTGTTTGCCTAATTCTTTTTATATTAATATCTGTTTCCTAGGTCTAGTCTTATAGTAGTACTATTAAAAATCCATATTACCTCTCTACTCAGGTCTTTTCAAGTAGGCTTCAGCTTTTCAGTTTATAGGTTTACACAACCACAAGAACTTATTTTGGATTTGCACTGTCTGATACTGATTTGCATTCTTCTGTATAACTCCAACATTGTGCAGATGCCTTATGACCTGCCAGTTATACTAGTGTGATCATATTACAGATATCTTATCTCAACTGATTAACAGAATGCTATTACTGTAATACTGTCTATATATTACATAAGAGATTATTCAAATTTTCACTATCAATGGGTTTTGAACTCACTACTTACTACTTGAAAGGTTGACAACTTATTTACTTTACTAAGTCACTACATCTTATAATCTTTGTAACTATATAAATCTGTAAAAACTAAAAAATAAGAAGTTTATTTAAAAAAATCTGAACAAAAAAATAATATAAAATTTTAATAATACTACTATAAAAGTTAAATCTAAGAAACAGATACTAATATAAAGAAACTAAACAAATAAAAATCTCCGAATAAGAGTATTATCAACTAGACTGCTAGAATTTTAATTAAGAAAACTGAAGAAAAAGAATATCAAACTGACCTGATATACTAATAGATTTACTATAATTCTACTAGACTATCTAAATTAAAAGTCTAAAAACAAAAACAAAAATATACTAAAATACTAGAGATATGTTATAAAGTAATATTGAAATTTGAGTAACTCTATAAAGTTATAATTATATTAAAATTTATAAAATAGGTAGGTAAATTAACAAAAAGATCTTCTAAAGCTTATTAACAAATAACAAATTCATATACTATAAGCTAAGTAGCAATACAAAATAGAATAAAGTTGAATCTAAATGATCCTCAATATAAGACAACACAGAATCACTTAACTTGGAATAAAATAATTAAAATTATTTGAGTATTGATTAGATAAACTAGAGAGTTTAAATAGAACACTTATTGGCAAAAAGTCAGATATAACAAATAGTAAATAACCTTAAAGCAAAACCCTTAAATAAACAATAATTAAAATTGTACATGTGACTAGTTGTACTCTTATAAACTATGAATGTACTTAAAATATTATTAACTAATAAAATTGTCAGTTTGGCTAAGCAATTGACTGCTTATTTAAAAAACAACTCTATTAATTTAATGTATTTTTAGATACTGAACAATTAATTTACTTAATGAATAAAATTAGAATTAATTAATAAAATTCTAAGAGTAATAAAATTTTATAGAACTTTATTAATAAAATTATATAAAATCTTATTATTCTTAAAATGTTACTAATTAATTCTAACTTTATGCATTAAGTAAACTTGTTTAGCGCAAAAAATTACACATATATATATACAAACACAAACTAGTTTGCAAACTTCGAACCAAACCCGGATCAAATCTTTAATTAAGTTTGAGTCTGGTTTGAAATTAGCAAAATTTTAAAGCTTGAGTTCGGGTTCAACCCCCAGATCGGACCGGACTTACCCAACCAAACCTATGAGCCCTATTTGACCATGTCCAATGTCCAACACCCTCTGGTCCAATGGACTGAACTGAACAAGGGTGGTCCAATGTACAGGCCCAACACTGCCAATAGGCGCAACGATCTAAAAACACTCCTTGTAATATTCTCAAAGTTTTGAAAAATGACATACCGTATTTCGCGGACCAAACCACCCTCCCCTGTCGGATCATGCGGATATTTCCATGATGCATATCAAATTAATAGCTTATCACTATAGAAAAACAATCGCCAGAAATAAACAAGGTTATACATAATACAGTATAATAAATATATTATGCGTCCGCATGCACCATCAAAATATTCATATTATCCATTCAACACTTGTAAGCGTTCGAGAAACATCTATTATACAATTCTTCACAAGTAGCAAAAATGTGTGTGGTAAAACTCATCATTGTAAATGTAAAAAAAAGGAATTTGCCTTACAGTACGTAGTAGTTGTCATCCTAATAATTATAATGTAAAATTTTATGTAACACTTTTAACGATCAGTTAATTTTGCGATAAATAAACTTAAATCGACTTAAATTACTAATCTATTTAATTTTTTTATATCTTAAGTTGAATTTGAATTCTTTAACAACTCGAGTACAATTTAGAATTCTACAACCTATGTCTATTCGAAATCAATCTAAGTAGGTTCTAAATCTGCCGACGTACAGATCACACTAACCCATTTAAAGGTGGGCTAGATTTGTGATCTGCAATAAAAATAGTCCAAATATACATACCTCGCCTTTTTTTGCTAAGTCTATATGTATGTATATGACTTTGGAATTGGCTCATTCATATTTTTTTAATAAAAATACTAAATTATATGCTCTAGGTAAGAATTTTTTTAAAAAAATAAAAAAAGTTATTGGAGGACCTGGGCATCGATCCCAGTACCTCTCGCATGCTAAGCGAGCGCTCTACCATCTGAGCTAGACCCCCGATGATTAACAATAGGTGCTATTAAAAATAATATTTATATAAATATTTATAGCAAACTGGCAATATGCACGTCCCTATTTTGGCGAACCCCATATGATGTAAGGGCATAAAATTTTCAACTAGTAATTTTTCTAACACTAAGCAATATTTGTCATTTGGTAGTTAGAAATCAAGTAATTTAATATAACAATGGCCGATGAAGAGAACATAAATGATACAGAAGTCCTTGATGAGGAACCACGTAGCATTTTGCTAGGGCTCATCTCTCAACTACGCAAAGGAATGGATTTGCATAGGGTGACTCTGCCAACATTTGTTCTTGAACCACGAAGCATGTTAGAGAGGATCACTGACTTTATGAGTCACCCTGAGTTAATTCTAAGGTATGTACATAGTATTCGATCACTCAGTTCCTTACTAAGTTTAAATACAAACTTGAAAACATATAAAGGGTTTGAACTAGACTGTGTAAAGGGGTTTCAATATTATTACAATTAACCTTTGATAAGGAACTGGAACTAAAATTTTTATTATAATAATTGTCGATTTACAATGAGAATATTTAGTAACTCACACGTTCGAAATAGTATAGTTGGATAGGTTATCATCTCGATCAATTATACATCAAAATCTGATTCTATTTAATTTCATTTCTAGAGTACCAAAGCAAGATGATGCTCTCCAACGGTTCGTAAACGTTGTGAGGTATTACTTATCTGGGTGGCATATAAAGCCTAAGGTGAGTATGTTAATGTCACATATGGATTCACAATTGATTTCTCTTGATCTTCAACTAAATTTTATTGTAGGGTGTAAAAAAACCATATAATCCAGTATTAGGTGAACATTTTCGTGCAAGGTGGAAATTTCCGGATGCCACTGAAAGTTTTTTTGTATCCGAACAAGTATCTCATCATCCACCAATTTCTGCATATTATTATGCAAGTCCCGAAAATAACATAATCATTGCTGGTGATATACGACCAAAATCAAAATTTTTGGGAAACAGTGCTGCAACGTTGATGCATGGAGAATCAAAGATCTTTTTTACTAATCGTCCTGGTGAAGTTTACCGAATTACAATGCCAAATGTATATGCACGCGGCATTCTATTTGGAAGAATGGTATTGGAACTAGGCGACAATGCTACTGTTCGGTGTGAGAAACATGATTTAATCTGTGAGCTTGAATTTCGGACCAAGGTATATTTTATGACGAATTATTACTATTCTCTTTATCATTATTCTGTGTACAAAAATCTTATTATATTATTTTTTTAGGGTTTTTTCACGGGATCATATAACTCTATTTATGGAAAGATAAAGCGGGAATCTACGGGAGAGAGCCTTTTTGAAATCACTGGTAAATGGTCAGACGTTATGTACATTAAAGATCTTGTGGTAAATAAATTTAATTTTATTATATAAATTTGATGGTTGAACTTCAATAAACCTATAGATTATATATCTATTATATTTTATTATATTAGACTGGAAAAAAGGAAGTATTATTTAGTGTTCGAGAATCTAAAATATATCCAAAGATTGTGGCTCCAGAGGAGGAGCAAGAAGAAAATGAATCTCGGCGGTAGGCATTATAAATTTGACATCTATTATACTTTCACACCTATTATACTTTCACACGTTGAATAACATAGTTTGTAAAATAGTTTATGGTCGAAAGTCACAAGTGCCTTAATAGGGAGGAATTTGGACCTCGCTACAGACGAAAAAACCATAATTGAGGACAATCAACGTAATGAAGCAAAACTTCGAGAAGCTGAAGGTATTGACTGGAGACCGAGATATTTTTTGCGTGAAAATGACGAATTTGGTTTCAAACAAACCCAGTACGTAATTTTCGTTTGTTTTGTTTACCAAAATATGATAATTCATATTTATGATCCCTTTCATATATAGTCTTTCAAAGGATCCTCAGATTTCAAAACACCAAATCGAAGCGTTCATTTTCTCTTCAAATTCGCCGCCAGGATTTCACTCACCTAATGGGACTCACCGTTAGTGATTGCAATTTATTAAAAATTTATAAGCTTAGCCAAGTCAATTATTCTGATAGGCTTAGTTGGATATTATCTCAAAAATTTAAATTTGCAAATAATATTGGATCAATCATAAGCTATAATCCGAACTTCCGCTGACCATTCTTGTATTTTATTTTATGTTGTTTTATTTACATAAATTAGGGAAATAGAAACTATTAAAGGTCCGAAAGCATGATAGAAATTCTTTCTTTATTGGCTATCATGTTGGGTGGTTTTTATCAAATATGATTGGTTGATATCTTTTAAATAATGATGAATATCGATATATAATGACAATAATAATCTTAATACTTTAAGTATTTGAAAAGTTCAGCATTTCTGGTTTGCATTTAGAGTTATAATTCTGCTATGCTAATATTCGCTCTTACTCAATGGGTTTCACTTGCAAGTTGCATATAATGTCGCAATGCGAAAAACCGGAATTCTGATTTTCGGAATTTCCCTTTACGGAAGCGAGCTTATCAGATTCTAACAACCTCGTTTCTGTAAATGAATTTTCAGAAAATCAACAATTCCGGTTTTTCGCTTTACAGCATTCACGCAGAATCGCTTATGTTGATGATCATGAATTTATTAGTGTTACAGTTAATTTTACATGCTGTGTCTAGAATAGTTAATTTTACATGCTGTGTCTGGAGTAGCTAACGTACGCACATTGTATCTATCTGAAAATAGCAACTTTAAATATCTGAAGTAGCATCTGACTGAAATTAAGATATATGCGTGAGAACGAATTTTCAATATTGCAGATTTCGCCTTATAAAGGCTTAAAAAATGTTGTCTATGATAAAAAAATTTAGTAAAAAACTTACGAATTTACTACGTATACACTGGCAATCATAAATAATGCAACATATGATAATTTTTATCATAAAACATAGTAACTATTGAAATTTTCGCTCTATAGTAAAATTTTTTCTAAAAATTTTATTATAGAGAGAAAATTTCAATAGTTACTATGTTTTATTATAAAAATTATCATATGTTGCATTATTTATGATTGCCAGTGTAACTTTGAGTCGAGGATATTCTTTAACTTCATTAAGTAACTTAAATTAAAATTTGCGATTGTATACTGTAGAAAAAATTTAACTTAAAAACCAATTTAAAAATTCTCTATTTTTGTATAATTTGAAAACTTGAAAACGTGAGTTTGCCAAAAATAATCATTTGTCAATTTTAAAGTTTATTATGTATATGTAAAGTTATGTCTTTAGAAGGGGTTAAAGCAGAGCAGATTTGGGTCAGTCCGTAAAATCCCTTAAATTGAAATATCGATGTTCAATAATTACAGTAAATTAAAATATTAAAATCTTTGAACGGGAATTGTAATATATCGTTGTATGAAATTATGTGACAAGACTTGCACTAAAGGTAGAGCATCTGCTCAAGAATATGACCCGAATACTCAACGGTACGGACTGACCCATTTCATATATTGTATCAAAAAGTAACTCTAAAACATCAAAAACGCAACATTTTAACCCGACTTTAAGACCCCTTAGAAGGCGAAAGTGGGTTATATTAGCGAAAAAATGAGTCAACTATATATTAAAGTTAAATTTTTCGATTATCTATATGCACCTTTTTTATTATTTTTATTTCTTAAGGGTAAAGGGTACTATATTGAAATTCTATATAAACTTAATGGTAATATTTTTTTATATTTAATTTTATAAAAAATTATATTAAGTAAACTAATATTAATTTATAAGAAAAGTTTGTAAAGCAGGTTTTTCTGATTTTAATAATAGTAAAATTATTAAATTTGATTAAAAACTCAATAACTTTTTAAAGTTTAGGTATAAAAATTAAATTAATTTATAGGGTTATGTAAATTAACTAATCAAAACCATTAATATTAAAAAAAAAAAAAATTAACTAATTAAATTTTTAGTACTCTTGTGTTATCTAGAAAACTTTAAAAAACTTTATGACATATATAAGTATATATTTTTTAAATATAATAATAATTTAAAATTTTACCATAATAAATAAATTATTTTATTTATATTTTGTGAAATTTAATAAAAATTAGTTGTAATTTAAAAAAGTTTTATAAGTAATATATTTCAATTTTATATGAAAATTGCAAAATACTATATAAAACTATATAAAAATAATCTATATACTCTTTACTTTTAAGTAAACTTGTATATATATTGAAAATATATTTTTTTAGATTTCTACTAAATAAAAAATAGTTCAATATTTTCTTAATTTTAATTCTATTTTTTACTTAATAAAAGCTTCTTTTTTTTTTTAAAATGATCTTTTTGGACTTTTGACTTTTATTAATTAGTTATTAGTATTGTAATTCAATAAACCATTACAAGAGAGTGTATAATTGGTTACATATATAACTTTTTTATATTATCTATTTAAGAAGTCCATCTGAAGGTTCTTCACCAATTGTCATACCTAACACTCCTGCTTAAGTATTCTATTTTAAACTTTCTGAATCTATAATCTGTATTAACTTACTGAGTTATATCCAGATGCTCAGATTATCATCTCAACCTTAGGACTAATTTATCTTTAAAATAAACCTTCTAGAGTTTCTGTATCTATTTTTACAGTTGATCTAGGTATCAATATAGCAGAACCAACACTTGCGGTTAGGACTTAATCATTAAACTACTATACCTTTGTAGAATTTACTTAGACTCTAGCATCTACTTTATAGCATAACCTTAGTACTTTAGTATATTTCTGTTTTTTTACCAAACTCCCAATTCAGATAATCTATATAAGACTACAACCAGTCTATCAGTATATCAGATTGGCCTAATATTCTTTTTTTTCAATTTGTTCTAGCAGCCTGATTGATAATATCTCTGAGACTTTCAATCCAAAGATTCTTGTTTGTCTAACTATTATGACCAAATACTATGACCTTGATATCTGTTTTTTCAAACTAGTCTTTACAGTAGGATCATCAAAGATTTAGCTACTTTTCTATTTGAGTCTTTTCAAATAGACTTCTTGTTATCCAATTTCAACAGATTTACATAACCACAAAGACTTATTTAGTATTTGTACTATCTAATTTGTTAGTTTGTATTCTTCTATATAATGCTATATTTATACAGATGCCTTATGACCTGTCAGTTATACTAATATTGTTACAGGATTGTAGTCTTCTTGATACAATACAACCAAGTAACAAGATTACCCAATATAGTGATTAAATATTGCAAATATATATAGGATAAAGGTATAGTAATTCACTTTACTACACAGTAGCAGGCAAACAGTTCGAGATAGTAACAGTATATAGATTAACTTTTATTAAATAAATACACAGTGAAACCTTGCCTATAGAAATTACCCTAAAAGGTGAATATTACTTTTATAAGTTAAAGATAAAAGTAAAAAGGTCTAGATTAAAGTATAAGAACTTAGAATTGGCAAAGAAGAGTAAAAGCTACCCTTTATATATCTTTTTACCTAGCAGAGATAGTGGAAATTTGAACAACATTACTTAATACTGTATTCAGGGCAATAGGGGTTCAAACAATATTAGATATCATTGTATTTGGGATAGTAGAGGTTCAAACAACATTAAATAATACTGTGCTTGAGATAGTAGAGACTGTGCAAAGGCAACTAGGGATATTTGTTAATGTTATTTGTCATTCATGCTTGAAACACTTAAGGCTTGTGTTTAGGTACTTGGATTTATACAAAGGCACTTGGAATTTGTGTAGAGATACTTGGAATTTGTGTAAGGACATTTGGGTTCATGTCAAATACTTGAAATTCTTGTGCTGTAGCACTTAGCATAGTAATTTGGTACTAGAATACATGAAACTTGTACAAAAGAACTTGGGGTTTGTAAGATAATAGTAACATCACAGATGTTACTCAGTGTCATGTAGCTATATTACATTTCTAATAGGCAATTAAGATCCTTTTATCTATCTACTATATAATATAACTATCGACTAACTAATGACTAATAATAAATATAATATAA